AAATAGAAGACGCAGTAATTGTTGCGCAAAACAATGTGGATACAACACAGTTTTTATTAAATAATCTGCTTATATGTTTTGGCTCATTTTTTAGCTATCTTCAAAGAAATTAATTTTATAATTACAATATTTATAAATTAATTCATACCAATGAACATTTCCACATACTTACGGAAACTTTAATATTGAAAAATGATTCTAATACAATCTAAATGTGTTCAAATTTTATAGGACAAAATTATTTTAAAAAACCAAACGAATTTTTACATCACGATAAGAATTATATATAATTAGACATAAAATATGGCCATATATATAACATCTTTTCTCGGAAATAATTCTTAAATTATGATTATGAGTACAATTTTTGCATATCTTACATTACATTTTGTTAAGCATATGCTATATATATTACTAATTTTAAATTATTAATTTGTTGATTAATCTGCTTTAAAAAAACGGATGCAGCATCCATTTCTTTTAAACGTGTTATAAATATAAAAATTTTATTCGAAAGAATTTTCAACAAAAGAAAAATGAATATTTTCGATGGAATGTTTAACATATAGCTAACGACAAATAAAAAAAGATTTGAATAAACAATAATAAATGATTTGAATAAGTTAAAAAGAATATTTTAAATAAATGAATAAATAATATCATTTTTATTCATGTAAAGAAAGGAAGCCGGATCCATCGTATTTGAATAAGAACAGTTGCATCAACGCGATTGTATTTCATAAGTTGAATCACTTTTGCAGGGACGTGAAAGATCGTCGCAAATCCTGGTGCAAAGACCGTAATAGAAATGTATATACATTTGTCTTTTAATTTATTATTATGATTATTATTATTTGTTAATAGCAATACAGAATAAATCAGTTATTTAAGCAAATAATGCAAAAAGATACAAAATCGCAGCTATTTTTATATAGCTTTTGATATATTTTTTTTGCAAAATTGTTAATTCATGTTAGAAACAATATGAAATAAATACTTTTATTATATTGGAAAAAAGATGCTTTATTTATTGAATGGAAAAAATATATTTTCTATAACATAAGATTGAACAAGTTATTATCGGATTGCTGTAAAATTTCAATAAGAACTTCTCTGTTTTCCTAATTTTTACATAAATATTATTTATAAATGCTTCAATATAAGGTCTCATGAAATATTTGAAAATAAATTGTTATATTCGTATCATTATAAAACAATCATAAAATACTGAACATATATATTCCTCAAAAATATTCTATAAATATAATTATATAATTTTTAATAAAACTGTAAAGTTTTTTATTTATACAATTACTATTTATTATACGTAAATATCACGATGTGATACTAAATATTCAATATACTGGATAACATTAATATATAACATAATTTTTCATTTTAATAATCAAAAGAAAAAAAATAATTGTAAAGATAATTATAAAAGTATAGATAAATCGTATAAAAGTTCGCTTTAGTTTTGTCTTATTATATTATCTATTGTGATGTATCAACATTTTTAATATATAACATAATTTTTCATTTTAATAATCAAAAGAAAAAAAATAATTGTAAAGATAATTATAAAAGTATAAATAAATCGTATAAAAGTTCGCTTTAGTTTTGTCTTATTATATTATCTATCTACTGTGATGTATCAACAGTTTTAATCTATTGATATACGCATTTTTCTAATCTTCCTGTCAAAATAATAAGAATTTGTTTTACAAAATTACGGAAGTTTTGTATAAGGCTACATGGAAAAAAAAAGATGATGACGATTGGAACGGGTTGCATCATTCCGATCTGAGTTTGCACGCACCGTGGCATCATTTAGTCTAACGGTATCTATCCGTTACCATAGGTAGTGAATTAAATGGAACATCTTTACGCATTGTACTACGATATTATTTCACTAACACAGAGACAAATCTACATATGAATGATAAAACGTGACATCACATCGTTGAATTAAGATTTAAAATAATTGATAAAATTTGTACTTATTGTTAGTTCATTAAAATATATTTAAAAATATACAAATTAATTTTATGTATGTTATCCTATACTTTTCTTTTTCTATAATTTTCTATAATTTTCTATAATTTAATTTTCTATAATTAGTTAACTGATGTATTAATAATTTAATGATTTTTATGATGGCGTAAAATAATGCAATGTGCAATAATTTTCTGTATAATTGTTTTTTCATGCTTGTAAAAAATAATTGTCCAAATGATGAATTAAAATTTAAAAAAAATAATAATTTAAAGTGGATTAATGTTTAAGTATTTACAACAAAGAAACTCTCAAAAGATTTGATAACAGATAATACTTAAACATTAATGATGAGATTAAGAAATAGCCAATAATTATTTCAAGTTGTTGATAGGATATAAATGAAGAAATCAAAAAGTATTTTGAAGTAATGCATCAAAGAAATTGAAAATTACTTGAAACAAATGAACGCTTATTATAAGTAGTCTTTAGTGTTAATAATCTTCAAGAATTAGTTTTTAATTCACGTCATGCAATATTTGATCCATATCATCATTATTCAACAGATGATTCCCGAGATGTTTTTCAAAAATTAGATTTGTTAGAAACACTTATGAATAACATTAATAATGTAACATTAATAAACTGATTGAATATTTAATGACTATTTGTTTCTCAATATTGTTGAAGAGTTTCCAAACAGGCATCATTGCATATTCAAATAAAAACTGAATTTTCATTCATAATCTTCATTGAGAAAAACTGAGACTAATTTCGACAGACACAAAAATTGATTAAATTGAATTGATTATAAAAAAATTGACTAAAAATTAAGACTGAAAATTTTAAAGAAATCCTAATAATTCTAATAATCCTATAATTTTAGAGAGCAAACTCTGCTCGAGAAACAAATGGAGGATGCTATCTTAATATAAAAATTTTTGCATATAATTTTTATATACATGCCATTTAAATTCCACAATTTATTTTCTTATTTTATGCTAATTTCTAATTGTAACTAATTATAACTTGCTTTTCCGTTGCAACATATCCAAAATTAATGGCGTAAAGTATGTTATAATACAATCAGCGCCCGCTCTTCTCATAGAAAGCAATATCTCGTTGAGTACATTCTCTAAGTTGATTGCACCATTTTGTGCACCATGATACAGCATAGCGTATTCTCCTGATACTTGATATACAAATAAAGGATATTCTGGATGTGCATCCTTTGTATATCGCATTACATCCAAATAAGGCAATCCTGGTTTCACCATCAGCATATCTGCTCCTTCATTTACGTCTCTTGCCTTTAGAAAAATAAAATAAATATTCTGTATATTATATACACATAACATATTTGCATATATATATATATATATATATATATATATATATATCACATTTAAAATTTAAAAAATAACAATTATTTTTATAATATAGGACGCGCAAGATAAAATAAAATCTATCAAATCAGAATGTTTTAATATTTTATCTCTCATTCAATATCCTTTAATATAATTGCAAAATATAAATATTCGACTCGTAGTTTTGTTATTATCTTATAGTAGTATAAGTGTATAGTAAGTAAGAATATTAAAACCTTACAGCAGCTCTGGCTGCCAACCCATTACTCCCAGGAGGCAACTGGTAGCACTTGCGATCGCCAAATTTTGGTACAGATTGTGATGCGTCTCGGAAAGGACCGTAAAGTCCTGATGCAAATTTTACAGCGTATGATAAAACTGCTACTTTATTGGAAAATCCAGCGGCAGCTAGACCTTGCTTTATTGCACTAATTCTACCATCCATCATATCAGATGGTGCAATAATTTGGGCGCCTGTAACGTATCATTAACAATTATAAAATATAATTACATACTTACACATTAGGAACAATTTTCAGCAAAAACAATATATTACCAGCTTTTGCGTATGATACTGCAACTTCAGCAATCCGCTGGATACTATTTGCATTATTTATACTACCATCACTGTTGAGAATACCACAATGTCCATGATTTGTATATGGACATAAACAAACATCACATGCTATTAATAGATTAGGAAACTTTTCTCGCAATAATGGTAAAGCCTGAATAATAGGATTCCTTGCACTATCGGCATTGCTTCCAATCTCATCCTAAAATCAAAAGCTTTCTAATTAAATTTTTAAATAGAACTCTTTTATTATAAATCTTCCCTAATTAAATATTTAATAATATTGAACTAAAGTTATAATAAAATAATTAAATTATAGAATGATATTCTATAATCTTTTATGATATTCTGTACAGTTTAAAAAAAATACAATATGCTTTATAAATGTTACCTTTTCGAGATATTGTGTTACACCAAATAATAAAACAGATTGCAAACCTTTTGCAACCAAAGGCTGTAACATCTTTTCTAACTGATTAATTCCATAGCGATATACACCAGGCATGCTATTAATAGATTCTTTAGCATCTTCTGCATCCCTACAATCATATATAAAAGTTTTATGTATTGTATCAAGCATAAATAAATGTGTATACATGTAATATAGCTTGATTTGTGTGTGTGTGTGTGTGCGCGCGCGCGCGTGCGTGTGTGTGTACATACACAGAGTATCCTATTTTAATCGATCATCTCAAATATTTTTTGAACAGTGCAAATTAAGGAAAAATGTTTCAGACAAAAGCTTTGGAACTTTGAGGGAGACATAAGATGATGGCATTAGTTTGATTTTAGGCGTCGTCAAAGTCAGGGCAAGGTCACTTTGAATTTTTTAAACGAAACTCCATTTTTCATTATGTATTCTTGTAGCTTACTTCGAGAACTTTCCAAAACTATAATTAACTTCATTTTCATTAAGTACTTTTCGAGTTATAAAGCTTGCAAGTTACACTGCAAGCATTAGCATTACGCAAGGTGCCCGACCGACGGTTAAAACCTCTTAAAATAGATATACACCCTGCATATATATATATATATATATATATATATTATATATAGGATGGATACTAAGTACTCTACAAGATTTTAAGGGGTAATTTATCATACAAGTTCAAAAGATGAAAATTTTGTGACCATACATTTGAGAAATGGCTTTCAAAAATACAGTTTTCAAAGATACAGATTGTCAAAGATAAAGAAAAAGTTTGGTTTTTTTCTAAAAATTACAAAAATTACTCTCAAATTATTTTAATATAATTTATATAGTTTAATATCAAAATAACTCAAGTGATTTTCAAAAATTAAAAAAAACGTTTCTTCAATTTTAATACTCTGTATCTTTAAACTAAGCTGTTTCAAACATATGAAGTTTTCATCTTAAATTTATGTGAGAAATAATTCTTTAAAATCTTGTACAGTACTTAGAATCCATCCTATTTGGATTAACATATCTATATGTTTAAACATATAGATCATATTTGTAGACTGCCAATAAATTTAATTTAAAAAACATATGTATATTTGTACATATCACACATACAGTAATCACATATGCACTACTTACGAAACAAATATTGGATACATAAGATTATTAATAGTGATCTCAACATTTGGTGACTGCCATTCTCGTAAGACAGGATGAAAAATTCCACTGTGAAGAGTGTGTTTAGCTAGAACTGTTGTCATCTTCATTATGTTCTAATTTGTTGTTCGCTTGCAATAAAAGTCCACAGTAATTCTTCTTATAGATACACACTACTTGATTTTATCAGTTTGATATCTAGATGACTAATTGAACCTACACATACTTCAAATAAATAATATATAATAACTTAAAAATAAATAACTATAACTGTATATAATAACTTAAAAGCAATGCAAATATATATAAGTACAATTACATAAAAATAAAATGGTTACAAAAGTAACTCAGCTACACAATAAAATACCTCTCGTGCATTAGAAGTTCTCTTTAATATCTATTTTTATCAATATATATTAACTCTATCTCTTAACTTATATCTTATCTTTTTCTAATACATGTTTCTACTAATGTAGATTAATTTTTATTTTGGTTCAATTTATTGTTCATCTTCGTCTAATTCTTAGAAAAAGATGAAATTATTTAAATCATGATTAAAATTAAATTATGTTAAAAAAGGCAATTCTAAAAAAACAAACGAAACATAAGTTTAATCAAGATTAAATTGAGTTTTCTACACTGATAGAATACATTGGTAGAAAAGGACATCAAATTAACAAATAATTGAGAACATACCTGATTATACAAAGTTCTTTACGAATAATGTGTAATTAATACAAGATAATGTTTTCAGATTCACAGAGTTGATGTCGTGAGTCTAATGTATAATGAGCATGACACTGAAAATACAACTTCGTGCCGCGCGAATGTGACATAACAGGGTTAACATGCAGAATACTAAAGAGCATAAGTATTAATAATTACATAATTTCTCATTCAAGTATATACATATATTTCTCAATACACATTAGTGTATTGTAATTTTTATCACAAATGTGTTGAATGTCAAGAAAATAACCATTATTAATTATTTTTATAATTAACAGCAACAAGTTCGAAATTTTCCACGAGATTTTAAGTTCGTATCACATCACTTGAAACATTGAACACCATGATTGTACCAATTAGAACAAGGAAATATTTGTCCAAATCCCACCTCGGCTTCTTCGTTTTCAATGCAAATCAGTATGATAGGAGCTTGAAAATCCATTTAAGTGCCACCGGCCACGATTGCCACGAGAACAATACAGCGCATGCTTCAACCTAACCTAACCCTAACTTCATCTTCTTGATCTAACCCTAATTTGACCTAACTTAATCTGGAAGACGACGGGACCAGACCACCAGACGTGGTGATTTTTTACAGTCGCCTTTATGTCAAAGACGCGTGATACTCTGTGAACGATAGCGGCGCCGGAACAGCTGTCCACCGTCAAACGTTCTCGGCTGCCTGCTGCCGTCAGCGTAGTTTCCGCAAAGTTTCTCTCGAGAACGGCGTGGTAAGATTAAATAGCGATGACGGATGCATCGAATTTACCGGGTGCCTCCACGGGCCAGAGGATGATGTCAAGGATGCTGCGGCAGCGGGCCCAAGAGTTTCTCGCCTCGCGGAAGCACGCAAACAACCTGTTAGAGATAATCAGCCACTGGGACGTAAGTAGAACCACGCCGACACTCGGTTTATGCGTTTCCTGGTGCCTGAATTTAGGAAATGAACGTATTTAACATTAAGAACATCCAAAGAGCTCTGTTTTAATTTGTAGGAAGCTACTTCTTCGTGCCTGCTTACAATAGAAACGATATTCGTGGAAGTATTGAAGCGCGGTGATATGTATATGGAGAGTACGATAGCCCTTACCATTTCGGGTAAGATTGAACAACTTGTTTTACTTTTTATGTTGGTTGTAGATAGACAAAGATAAATAGGAATAATATTTAAAAGATTATTTCTTTTTACTTGAACTTCTTGCTCTCTGTTCATCTTTTTTTTCTCTCTCCAATGTGAACAGAAAGGAAGGGAAGATGAAGTATAAAAAAATTTAATTAAAAAAAGAAACAGGTTTTAAGTTGGTAATTGAATTTCTTGGACTTTTAATTTTTTTCCTCTTTGATGTTTAATTGTTTCTATTTTATTTTAAGAAAGTATGATACTGCAACCACAAAGAATAAAGTTATTATTACATTTTGTATTATATGCAAAAGATTTCTACAAAACTATATGTTTAAGGATTTATATTTTAATATTGTACAATTATATTATATATGAAATAGAACCTAGTCCAGAATCTCGCTATACTACTTGGCTGAGAAATTGCTACGAAGAAGTTTGGAAAAAAGTACTAATATCTATGGAGAAAAGTCGATTGGTTATTCAATTGCAAGCCCTTACTACTGCGATGAAGCTAATGGCTGAAGAGGGTAAAGCTGTAATGGAGCCACGCGATAATCCAGGATATCACTTTCCCCTGCATCGTTTAAAACCTATTCTAATGACTCTACTGTCTCCTGAAAAGGACAATACTAATTTAATATCGAGATTCCAAGAGATCACCAGCTGTCCTGATGTTTTGTATTATACATGGAGATGTCTACCTTCTCTCACCCCGAAAAGACAACCGAAGGAAGTTTATATAAAGAATCTTCTGGAACTTATAGATAAAATACCACTGCCAAAAGAAGAAGAAGGTAAATCTTTTTTTCTTTAAATTTTGAGTTATTATATAAAATAATCCAATTATATACTCTATATAAGTATATTTCTTTAACTGTTTTATTATACAATATTGCAATCTTTGTATAAATATATGAAGTATTCAATTAAACGCTAGTGCTGCTAATAAGTCTTCAAATATTTACAATGCTTAACCTTGATCCTTTAAGTTTTTAACTGAAATAGATTCATAGTTTTTTGTTTATTAATTTTATATTTATGATCTTACAAATATAAATAATACAAATAGTAATACAATTGATGTTCGTATATTTCAGCATCAAAAGTATCAGAACATAAAGAACTTTTGTGTGGACTGCAACAAGGTAATATAAGTTATATTAAATATTACATAGTTTACGTTATCTCAAATTTTGATTTCATTAACGTATAATGTATCTTAAATTTTTTTTTGCACTAGATGCTGCATTTACGTGGGATCAATCCAACGTTAAACGCGCATTAAACAAAGTCTGGGCTTGCATTATGCACTGGGAATTAACGCCGCAATTGCACAAACAGTTGCTAATAGTTTTATTGGAACGAGTCATGTCGCATTTAGAAAAACCGATATTATTAACCGACTTTTTGATGGACTCCCTAGACGCAGACGGTCCTGTTGGAGTGCTCGCACTGCAAGGCGTATTTATACTTGTCACCAAACACAATTTAGAATATCCAAATATTTTTACCAAGTTGTATTCGATGTTTGAGCCTGAGATCTTTCATACGAAGTATAAAGCTCGTCTGTTCTACTTGTCCGATCTATTTCTCAGTTCTACGTAAGTATTTTATGATTATGGCAGAACCGCATATATCAGGAGTGGCACTATGTGCGTTTTTATTGTACGACAAAGGCTACAGGACAGAGAAATTCTCGTATCTTTCTATTCCATAGCCAATCAACAGGCTTGAAAAATTTGTCATACGACAAATACGCACAAATGTAATCCTATTCCATGAATTGAGAAAATTATAGAATAAAACAAAGAATCGAATATAATTTCACATAAAATTATCTGAAAATTCTTTTCTTTTTTTAGACATCTACCAGAAGCATTAGTAGCAGCATTCGCGAAACGACTCGCACGTCTAACATTAGTCGCACCACCAGAGGATATTTTGATAATTCTACTTTTTGTGGGTAATCTGTTGCTTCGACATCCAGGACTGAAGAGGCTGATAGATCATCCGCAGGGTGGTGAAGCTCCTTCAAATGCGAGCACCGGAGCCGGCGATCCGTTTCTCATGGAAGAGCGTGACCCATTGCTGAGCAACGCATTGCTCAGCAGTCTCTGGGAGATCCGGGCATTGCAGTGGCATATTTTACCCAGCATCGCCAGCGCTGCGCGTTTCATTCGTGAGCCACTGCCTTCTGTTGAGTACGACATGGCATCGGCATTAGAACGCACTGGAGGTCATCTCTTTGAAAGCGAATTGAAAAACAAAATCAAAGAAATCATGCTGACATTCGAAAGACCAAGCTCTATGGCACTGCCGAAAGGAGAAAAATTGTTGCAATATTGGCAGCTCACTCATTGATCCTGTACACGGCGTGATCGCGACGCCGAGAATACAATATATGAAAAAAGAGCCGTCATTGAAAATCGTTGGTATTACAGGTGAAAAATAAAGACTTTTTGTGTTTTATATGGCATATCTACAAAAAAAACCAATACAGTATATTTTTCTGTGGCGTTGAATATCTATGTTTGAAATGAGTTCGTGCATAATTCATCGATTATGATACAAACAAGAAAAAAATGCACACTCGCTTTTTGTTGTTTATCTATCTCAGTTATATGTAAATTGATAGCTTATGTTTCTTGCATAAATTGTGTATAAGTGCGCAATACTGATTTGATTAGTACTTTTTAATTCTTTCGCTGCTCCTTACGGTATAAATTGTTATCATTTTGCAATTTGTAAGTATGATAAGAATTTATGAAATTTTAATTCATCACATACGTTCTAAATATGTATATACACAACGTAAAAAAATACCGTAAAAACAAATATTAACCTAATATTTCATGTGTTGCATGACAAACTTTTTAAATGTATTGATTAACTGCAGAATTGAAAGATCCGAGAACTTCTCTGTTCTGCAACCAATCGACAGGCTTGAAAAGTTTTCATGTGACACATGAAATATTGATCTGTGATTACGATCAAGTAATTCTTCTTTCTTGATAATTTTATATTAATAAATTTTTATATTAATAATTTACAAAAAAGAATATTATTTTTGTGTTATTTAAAAGATAAAACAATTATAATCTACATTAATGAAAAGTCTTTCATATCATTTTTTATTGTGTAATATGTGCAACTTATTTTATTTTTGACATCAAGTATTTGAATTATAAAGATAACATTTGTATATATTTATAAATACTTATTTCGACAATTATTTGTGGTTAAATAAAAAAACATACATGTGTATTTATATGAAATTTTATTTTTTAATCGAGATCATTAAGTCGAAGCTGAAATAAACTACATGCTAATTCATTATTTGGCATATATAAAAATAGAATTTATATAGTTTTACATCACTTTTAATTTTTCAAAAATGAACTTCGATGCAGCGAAAGAGTTGAAGCTACTCATCCTTTTTGATGTTACTAAGCAATGGGGTCGCTAATGGATAAACATTTAATCCATATTCTAAGTAATTTGCATAATTTGCAAAATAAATGTGCCGGTTACTATACATAACATTCTCGAATAATGATTTTTTTGTATGCAGGAATGTGAGATAATAAACTGAGATATTTTAATTTAACAAATAACTCATGATATAGTGCTGTTAATATACAAAACTTTATAATACGTAGGTAAGCATAATTCATTGCAGTTTTAATTATAATCTCTATTCGGGGTCTTATATTTCTCTTTTTATATAAATGTATTTCTATATATGTATATTATTTTTATCATTAGCCTTCTTTGTATGTCACAATTCTGTATATTTGCGCCTCATTGCATAACGTCTCTTATATGTATATACAAATGCTTTTATGTACATCATTTATGTTAATAGATAAGTTATTACAGTATCATTATGTATGATGTCGCTTTGTGTCTAACACCTGAAAAAATAGTATAATAAAAGGTTATTAATTTTGATCGAATCATTTATTTAGTAGTAATATATAATGAAACTATTATATTTATTAATCATCAATCTTTTAAATATTATACATAGTTTACATGTAACTAAAAACATCAGGATTCAAGCAAAAACAATTTCTATATTCAAAGTAATTACAATATCTTGGTACAGAAGTAAAAAAATTAAATTTTTTCTGTATATAAATATTATAAATATTAAAATTAATATTTATAATTCTTTAAAATTTTAAAAACAACTATTTAAAAGTAAAAACTATAAAGTACTAAGCTAATTTACGATAACATCTGATAAAGGAAATTGCTCTTTATATACAAAAAATTTTTTCTCACAAATGCACTTTTTTATAGTATCTTTTATACTTTATTGTATATTCATGTAAAAATAATTCGCATAAAGGCACGACAATGTCTCGCGCCATGATTAGTGCCGAGACACTTCCAGTGTCTCCAGATTTTTAGAACAAAAGAATTACAATAAATTCTTACCTGGA